TAATATAATGGCATATTTATTGTCTGAATGACTGCTGTGGGTATTGTGTAATCATCAATGCCTGTCTAGCTTCTGACCTTTCAGTAAAATTACAACTGCACTGTATGACTTCTACATTTTAGTTTACCAGGTCTTACTCAGCTACATATATGTACATAATCATTTGCCAACCCAAGGTCTGATTCCAGAGTACTTGGATATCTCAGTCTTGCTATCTGTACTCAATCTAAAGTTTAAATGTAAATGTTCTTATTCCAGGAGTCATTACTAAATATTCTTATACATTTGTAATCCCATAATTAATTAGCTGAAATTATCGATGCATGTTTAGAGACAAATAAACAATGTAACATGGAGAATGTTAATTTACAAAGGGTTCACCGTAAAACATTAAATGCAAGTAAGTTGCAATGCACACAACTTGACAAAGGAAATTTAGATTGTACAGTTACCCTACATTCAGTGGGAAGAGGTGTGTAGACATTTAGTTAAAATTGAAAAGAAAATATGATGTGGTAAATGCTAGTATTCAGTGAAATGAGTTTATAAAGTAAAACAAGTTCACACAAATTTTACTTAATTGACTAGGTTAAATCTACAGAATTTCAAAATGATTGTGAGTAAATGCAATTGGTGTATTGGGTATGTGTGTAAAAATATATACAGTCTCTCTATACACATACCCAACAGAATTAGATATGTTCTGTCAAGTTGAATGGGTTATATAAATCAATAGGGCTAAATATCTGAAATAATAACTGTTACTTCTTCTAGATGTTGTGGTGCAATACTAGTCTAATGAAATAAAAATTATCTGGAAAAATGTAATCTTTTTAAAAATAAATATCAGGCATTATGTTATTATTCCCTTTGAAAAGAAAATACAGCAGATATGAATATTTCTGTATTTCAAAAACCATTTTTAAAATGAATTATTTTGTGAAAAAATGGGACTAACTTCTTTTTACAATCCAACATAAATCTAAAAAGTAAATCCAAAAAAAAATACAGAAAAAGATGACTTTCTTTAGGCCCTCAAAATCTTGCTTCAGAATATCTATTCTCCCTGAATGTTACCAGCTACACAGGAGGAACACAGATTTCAAGAAAACAAGAGAAAAAGAAATACTATACTAACTATATGTTCCTTGTATATAATGCTGATTATAATATTGATAAAAAGATACTTATTTAATAGTCAATCCCTAAGATCTCAGATTAAAACAAACACTGAGATGGGATTTCGGGTATCCCTGGGGCAACCCACTTACCTCCTGTCCCATTTGTAGTGACTGAAGTGCTGCTGAGATTAGGTTTGTCCAGTTTGGAGCTACCAGGAGTATCACTACCTCCAACGAGAGTGTGAGGACTTGCCAGGTCCTGCATTTCCATGGACCTGTTAGAGCAGAAAGTAGCAGAGCAAAACTGAAATGTCTGCAAATATTTCTCAATAAATTACATGTATCATTCTACTGAGCACATGGTAGATATCACAATAAGAATTGAAATGAGTAGTCAAAATTTCTTAGTCAACTGGTGAATATGCTGGTCCACTGAACATCAACAAAATGATGCAAAAAGTAGTGAATAAATATGAAAAGCTCCCAGAGTAAGTTTGACACCATAGCTTGGTTATGATTTGTGATCCTACAACTTTCTATATAATAATGTAAGATGAAGAGCAGACTGTCGTCTTCACAGTTTAAGCTCACAGGGTCACCCTGCTCTCCTAAGGTGATCACCTCGGCTATAAACACAGAACAATGCTGAAAATGTTTAACTCCCATAACTTGGCATCCCCTGTTCCCACTGAGGAAAAAAATCTCCAGCAAAAAATAAACTATCAATTAAAACCTAGAGTAGAAGCTTCTAGCTGTTCTTGACGACCCCGGTGGCTGAAAATGAGCCCAAGGCTGGGATTTGGAGTTGTACTACATTTGAGATCCACTGAAGAATAGGCGATTTTGACAAAGGTTTGTTCCACACTATGTGCTAGAATTGAAACTCTAAAAGAAAACCCTGGAATTCTGGAAAGGATGACTCTTTTCTGAAAAACAAAGTAGAAAAAAGAATTTCTCTGTGGACCAACGAAGATACACATGCTTTCATGGGAGAAAGAAAACACCTAAAATAAACAAAAGTTAGGAATATTTCTTACCAGTGACTTGAACAACAACAGATACTATGGAAATACTTCAGCTGAAGAAAAGAATAACAAATGAAAACTCAGATCTACAGGATGAAATAAAGAGTAAAATAAACATAAATAGATGTATAGATATCAAAAAATTCTCTTTCGTTTCTCTCCTAATTCATGAAAAGAGAGCCAACTAAAGAAAACATAATTATTTTATACTGTGAGATTTATAGTATGGCATATAAGTAAAATAAAGGGCAATAATAGCACAGAGGATTGTGAAGTAAAATTTTATTTTCTAAGATTCTTCTATTTAGTGTTAGGTGTTATATTAAATTTGGGTAACAGGTAAGTTTAAGATTTATTGTATAACACCTAGTGCTAATGGAAGAACCTTAGAGAATATAATTTTTATTTCACAATCCTTTGTGCTATTATTATCTTTTCTTTTCTTTCTTTTTTTTTTTTTTTTTTTTTTTTTTTGTTTTTTTGAGACAGGGTCTCACTATGCAGTTCAGGCTGGCCTTGAGCTCACTTTGTAGCCCAGGCTGGTCTTGAACTCACAGTGATCCTTCTGCTTCAGCCTCCCGAGTGCTGGGATTGCAGGCATGGGCCACCAAGCCCCACCTGTGCTAGTATTTTCAAGTGTACATAGATCATCAATCAAAAGAGTATAAGCTGGTCTCTAATGCTGATGGATTTAACACTGAAATTTCACAGAATATGGTATCTGACCTCACTGAATTAATTTAGAAACAAAAGCAATCACATATATAAAATATATCCCCAACATTTCAAAATTAAAAACCACAGTACTAAATAATCTCCTAGACATTGTTATATCTCCGGGAGATTATTTAGTACTTAGGAGTAAATCTGGGAGTAAATGTAAATTTAGGAAAAATGATAGTGAAAGCCCATCAAAGTCAAAACTTGTTTTATGGAAATAAAGTAGTGAGTAGTGAGAAATATGTATTGGGAAGGAAAAAGGGCTTAAAAATCTGTAACCTAAGTTTTCACACTAAGAAACTAGAGAAAGAAAAACAAAAGAAAGAGGAAACCATGAAGTGCAGAAAAAGTTCAAATTCTATCCACCATACAGAACATTTACAAATTCAGAAGATGACCTCTGAAGATACTAATGATAATAAAAGGATTATAAAAGCAAGGGAACATTATTAACATTATTATGCCAATTGTTTCAATAACATGTGAAACCAGTGAATTTCTTGAAAGACACAATTGTGAATGGTAACACATGAAAACGGAAAACCTGAGGTATCATTTAAAGTGTAAAACTCTAGATTCATATGATTCCATTAGTGAATGCAATAAAATTTTAAGGAAAAATAGTAACAAACTTCTCCAGATTTTTGTTTTGTTTTGTTTTGAGACAGAGCCTGGCTATGTAGTTCAGCTGAACTCATTATGCATGTGTGTAGTATGTATGTATGTGAATAGCCCAGGCTGGCCTGGAACTCCTGCAGATCTTCCTGACTCAGCCTCCTAAGTGTTGGTATTACGGGTGTGTGCCACCATGCTTGGTTTCCAGATTCAATCAGGTAAATACAAGAGGGAATCACTCTGCTGTAGTAGATCAGACTAACTCTGACATAATACCTGGCCAAGACAACTTTAAGAAGAAAATTTGGGGTCCATATTCCTTAGAAACAAAAAAGAAAAGTGTGTGCTGTTGTTCACATCTACAATGCTTGCTAAAAGTCTCCTACATTCAGATGTGAGACTTATCAGATAATTGGATCATGGGGGTATTATATTCATCTGTGGATTAATCCACTGATGAGTTCACAAGTAAATGTGCAGTTAGAAGCTGGCACCTGGACAGAATTGGCAGGTTACTAGGTCCATGATCTGGAAAAATGTATTCTTTTTCCAGGCTCTTTCCTCTTCTCCTTACTGGATGCCATAATTTAAATAAATTCTTCTGGCAACCTCTTCAGCCATGCCATTTCTGCCTGGGAACAAGCTGATCATGCACCAAACCTACTAAAACTGTGGCCCAAAGGGAAACCTCTCTTCCTTTAAATTGCAGGTGTTGGCTCATCTATCCCAGTGGTGGAAAAACTGACTAATATAGAAAACTGGTACTAGGAGTGGGGTCGTTACTCTGACTGTACCTGACTATGTGGTCCCAAAGCCTTTAAAACTCTTTGCAGGAAGAATTCAGAAATGTTTAGAGCTGTTGGCTCAGAATAGCCCTGGAATGCTACAAGCAAAGCCAGATGGATAATTCTGGTTGGAGCTCAAAAGATCAAAATAATAAACAGTCCAATCTAGGCATAGGTTGCAATTGGAAACAAGGACTCTATTAAAAATTAGACTAGAAGCCATGTGTATTACACTCTGGAAAAAAGTTCATCTTCATTTTTCCCATGTTCTGAGACTTTGCGGGAGACTGAGATTAAGGGCAGTAAATCTGGTAGAGAAAAATGATCCGTAAGGCAGCCCAAAATTCATTTCTGCCTTGCAGTGACCAACCATGGACTAAACCCATTAAAGCTATGCAGCAAAATAAACCTCTCTTCTTTTAAATTATGGGTATTTGGTATATTGTCCCAGTAACAAAAAAACAAGGCTAACTTATACTACATGTAACTGAATATCAAATCAAACCTTGTAATGAAAAGAAAAATGCATCATAACAAAGTGTATTCCATTCTGGGAATCTGAAGCTTAACTGACATTTGGCAATCAATGCAACTCAATATATATAAAGGAATATTATGTTCATGAATTTAAAAATTGTTTGACTATAGTCATCTTCCATCCACTAAACTCTTCAGGAACCTAGGAAAAAAGTATTATTTATTAATCTGATCAAAACAATTCTTGAAAATCTACAGTTTATATTATATTCAATGAGGAAATGTTGAATTATACTATTTCAGAGCCAACACAAAGATATCTGCTTTCCCTTCTTCAGCATTACATTTTATTGTCAACCTTAACCAGCACAAGCCAAAAATAAATACATAAAAGGGTGAAGTTTAGAAAGATAAAACTGTAATCACATGTGACATAAGTTTTTCTGTAGAAAATTTTAAGATGTCCATCCTCAAACTCCAAAATGACTAGAACTAATTGATCCAAGGTACATGCACATGGACTTTGCCAGCACTAAATAAATCATGGGCTAAAAATATCTGAAACTTTAGTCAATACCTTTCAAGTTCAAATACTGAAATATCAAAAGGGTGGTTATTTTGAAGATTCAGCTCAACTCTAGGAGACTCTGAAGGATCAGTCTTTCATGCTAACTGCTGACAGAAGAAAGGATTTACACTCTTGGGAAAATAAGACAAAAACAGAAATCAATCTCTACTGTTTTTTTAAGTATAATGCTTAGAACATTATATATATAGTGATACTGTAGCAGAAGGTGCCTCCCCCATCCAGTACACTTCAGTTTGTTTGTTTTTTTTTTTTTTTTTTTTTTTTTTTGGTTTTTCTCTGGTGCCAGGAACCGAACTCACGACCTTGCGCTTGCCAGGCAGGCGCTTTTGCCGCTGAGCTAAATCCCCAGGCCCTCACTTCAGTTTGTTAGTTGCCCAGGTAATAGTTCCAGTTACAATTCCTGTTACTTTTGTTGCTTAGAAAAGGCTGATCACTATGATGCATACTGTAGGAACTAATCCCCCACTGACAAGCCATTCTGCCTCTGTACGTCTGCTTGCTTACCACATATAAGCCCTAGACCACTAGAGATCAGGGCCTGATATTCTGGGAAGTATCCAAATCAGTGCCCATTGACATAAACAAATCTGCCTATGAATCCTGGGTGTTGTTTCAGTGTTTCTGCTTGCTATAGCATCTGATGCATCAGCAGGGAAGACTGACCATGCTGACCTCTTTGGTCTCCAGTCATCGCCCTCACAGCTGGAGCAAGAACTTCTCCAGATCCCAATGGGCAGGTGTGCCTTGAGATTTCTTGAGTCCACTCACAGTCTGGAGGAAGACCCTTGGCTCCCTGCTCCCAGTTGTTGAACTCAATTTGTTCCTAATTCATGTTTGGAATGAACAGAAAAGTTTGAGAACTGAACATATTGTTACCATAAGAATTGATAGAAAACCAAATAATTGGTTCTGAAGCCCAAAAATTACACTTATAAATTCATTTTCCAGCACTTCTACCAATTTTGCAATGAGGTATTTCTTTAACCCTATTGTGGTTCTCTTAGTTTTCTTCATAGCTGTACTGCTGGCATCACGAACACTCTTTGGAGCCATAGTTATAATAT